TAGAGGGCAGACTTTTTCCCACCTACAAAAACCGTAATTATTAGATCCAATACGTACGTATGTTTTTTTCGGGCTGTTAGGCCCCCACTCCTCAACGCATGGCCGAACCAAAAGTTCGGACCGGTTTTCAAAGTCTTGCAACATGAAAGTTTTCATTGTTTTAGAATACAATGAAAAGTCAGGGTTCAAGCCTTTTTGATTCGTGAAACAATTTCAGCTTGTATGGGGCAGGGTCGGCAGCACCAAAGCGGGGCCCACAGGTCCACCCAAGACATTTCCACCTAGAAGATGTTTCCACCAAAGGACAAGGGTGCAACCATACACTTTTAGCTTCAAGTTGTGATTGCGAAGATTTCTATGGCTGCCGTCAGGATGCAGTGGAGACGCCTGCTGCAGTGGGTACGGCGTCAGAAGTCACACGGCGCAAGGGTGGCCCACGCATGCCCACGCAACATTTTTTAGAGCCTAGATTGGAGGCAGAACTTTTTTCATTTACAGATAATCATGATATATCATGATTAGACTTATATACTGTAGACCCAATACTTTTTTGGGGCTGTCAGGCCCCCACTCCTCTAAGCATGGCCGAACCAAAAGTTTGGGCCGGTTGTGAAAATATGTGAAAATCTTGCAAGAAAATGTCATGCAATTGGGGTTGCATGCTCAAAGCATAGACAGGCGCCAGCTGAAGAAACAGCGGTTGGCAAGGAGCCAATCGAGGAATGCCAATATCCAGATGTGACTTGGCGCATGGTGCAAGGGTACCGGCAAGCCCCTAATCAAAAGTCAGTGGATATTGTTTCTCCGTGGCTTTCCACCAGATGTTGTCAATGGTTTTCCAAGTTTTCCATCATTTTCTCTGCAGTTTTCCAACAGCGGTTTTCCTTTGTTGTCCACCAATGCTTTTCCGTTGTTTTCCACCAAAAGTTTTCCATGGGTTTCCCAATCAGAGTGCTCCATGGTTTTCCAGCAGGGTGTGTCCATGGGTTTCCGCCCAAAGTAATGTTGCATGATGTTCCACCGTTTTTTTCCGTGCCTTTGACAAGGTGTTTCCATGGTTTTCCACCAATGCTTTTCCATGGTTTTCCGTGTCCATGATTTTGCGTAATTTTCCAACAACTTCATTTCCGCAGTTTGCCAAGGAATTTGAATACCCTGAAGTGACTCGGCTCAGTGTGAACTCCCTTCCACATAGAATTACACATAGGATTCCACATAAGTTTCCACCAAGATATTTTATATCACCAGTATCGCGCAACCAGGGCCCACTTATGGTTGTTATAAATGGCTATAAAGAACACATAGCAGTCATTAATCCTCTGATACATATAGCCTCTGTGCCACCGTACTGCGCTTCACATTTTTGGTCTTTCCAGCAATTGTTTTGAAACATCTCGGTGTCCCGAGGGTCCTTTCCAAGTGAGTCTGGGCGATGAAGAAAGACGCCAGCAATTTCTAGCCAGGTAATTCCACCTATCGGAAAATTTTCACCAGAACGACGCCAAGCTGCCAGGATGTCCCACCCAGGAAACTCCACCTAGGATCTGGTTCCCAACACAAAGAAAAGGCAAGAATTGCCAGCCAGAATGCCCCACCCAGAAACTCCACCTAGGAAATTTCTCTGCAGAAAGAGGCAAGCCAGCAAATCCCTTAAATTCCAAAAAAGGAATTCCAAGAAGGAGCAGGAGCACTGCAAGGAACTTCCACCCAGGAAACTCCACCTAAGTAACTTGCAACCACACAACGGGAAACTAAGGAATTTCCACTCACAAAACTCCACCCAGGCAAGTCTTGCTGAGGAAGAAAAAATCCAGCACTTTCTAGCCAGGTAAGTCCACCTAGGCAATTTTTCCCCAAGACAAAGGAAAGCAAGGAATTGCCAGCCAGGATACCCCACCCAAGAAACTCCACCTAGGAAATTTCCCTGGAGAAAGAGGCAAGCCAGCAAATCCCTTACTGTAAATTCCAAAAAGGAATCAAAAAGGGAATTCCAAGAAGGAGCAGGAGCACTGCAAGGAAGTTCCACCCAGGAAACTCCACCTAAGTAACTTGCAACCAGACAACGGGAAACTAAGGAATTTCCACTCACAAAACCTCACCCAGGAAAGTCTTGCTGAGGAAGAGAGATTCCAGCAGTTTATAGCCAGGTAAGTCCACCTAGGCAATTTTTCCCCGAGACATAGGAAAGCAAGGAATTGCCAGCTAGGATACCCCACTCAAGAAACTCCACCTAGGGCCTAGGGAATTTCTCTGCAGACAGAGGGAAGCCAGCAAATCCCTTAAATTCCAAAAAGAGAATTCCAGGAAGGAGCAGGAGCACTGCAAGGAACTTCCACCCAGGAAACTCCACCTAAGTAACTTGCAACCAGACAACGGGAAACTAATGAATTTCCACTCACAAAACCCCACCCAGGTAAGTCTTGCTGAGGAAGAAAGATGCCAGCAATTTCTAGCCAGGTAAGTCCACCTAGGCAAATTTTCCCCAAGACAAAGGAAAGCAAGGAATTGTCAGCCAGGATACCCCACCCAAGAAATCCCACCTAGGCTTTTTTTCCGCAGAAAGCGGGAAACAAGCAACTTCCACCACCACCCGCGAAATTTCACCTAGGGAATTCATCTAGGAATTCCACCCAAGAAGCAAGGAACTTCCACCCAGGAACTCCACCTAGGAATTCCACCTAGAAGCAAGCAATTTCTAGCCAGGCGCTTCCAGCCAGTTCGAATTTTTAATGAAAGGAATTTCCACCAAAGCCAAAATCGTATAGTACAGTACAACCATTTCCATCTGATGATTGTGTAGCAATCCCACAGGCCGCTCTCAATACCATTGTTTTGGGTCTAACTTTAACAACTCGACTCATAGAGTGTTCCAAATCATCAGCACCATATATTTGGACCATTTACCTGCATATATTCCCTGTGGTTTGCAATTTTTTAAACATGCGGAGTGGGCCCTACCATTTAAACATACGTACAGAACTGGTATTTCATACTACCTCCGAGCCTGACTGCCCTGGCCCGGCCACCACATATTTAAATGTGATTACCGTATTTAAACTAGTAGGGAATCTGGAGATATGCATTAAACATATTAAACATCATCTATAAGCTTCTGGAATCACTGTTCTATCTTTTTGGGTTTACATATAGGGGAAAAATAACAGGGAAAATTGCATGGATCCCATGGTTCATCAATGGCATCCGACAAGACCCACGTCTTCCATAATGAGAAGCAAATCCCGCAGCCTTGACAACTCCAACCTTCAGCAACCTTCAGCAACCTTCCAAAAATTCATTTACATTGACCAAAACTCTCACACCTCGCCCAGCGCGCTGTCTAAAGCCTTGGAGGTATGCTTCGAACCTGCTTCAGGTGCCGGACGTTTTCCGCAAAATGTAGCTACAAGTACTATATATTACTATATGTATCAAATAATTGGGAAACTATGATGTTCCAAGCGGATGATGATGTTCAAAGTGGGATTGTGATGGATTTTGGGGGGTTCCACCAAAAATCAGAGTTAAACCCAAATTTGGGCGCATGGGAGCGGGGGACGAAATACCCAGCCTTCATGGTTTATATTATCTTATCTTGCTTGGGAAACCACTGGGCCCACCCATCCTCAAATTCTCCAATCAATCCACCAAGAAACAAGGACAATCACAGAAGCACAGGTCAAACTGCAGACCCTCCAACCCATCGATTTTGGGTCATGTCCAGTCTTGAAGCACCGAACTGAGCGGCTTGGCTTGAGTCATTTTTCAGTCTTCAAAATACCAATCTTGGACCTTCCAAACATGTTTTCCAGAAATCTTGGAACAATTTTCGGTTCCAATCTGATCAGCAAAAGATCAGAAAAAAACGGGAGAAACCCCAAAAAAAAGGATAAAAAAAGGACATCCAGCCTGCAAGAATTGGACCTGGGCATCTCATTGCCAGCCTGGCAGCTGGTTCCAGTCGGTTACAGTGACCAGTGACGGGAAAAGTTCGGATTTCTCCCTCAGTGACGAGTTTTTATCATTGACATATCGTACATATGAAATCAATTGAAATCCCAAATTTGATTCATGAAAACGGAACTGATGAGTTTTTTCATGCCATGGGATGAAAATCTCCTGCCTGCACTGCGGAAGGAAAAGGCCACCATGCTTTGTTTTTTTGGGTCTCGAATAAATGGAAACGGTCACAAGTTACGCCACTTGTTGCATGTTGCTGTGTTTAACAGGCCTTATGCATCATGAGCTGTCCAAGTGTCCATGTTTGTGTCCTCATTTTCCGACCATGTTCTTTTGATCAAAAATCAAAAACTGATGGTATAGAATGCTCGACTGGCAAGCCTGCTGGATAGACCACCATTACGACCATGTGTTGTCACTTCTGGATGTAGCTGAAGCCGCAGTACCAAAACATGTAAGATTGAAGGCTCATAATATCTCACAATAATAACGGCTCAACATGGCTCAACAGCGTTCTTTCTCGATGCAACTTTCTGAGTTTGATATCCCATGGAACTGCACTATGTTACACAAAAAACACAAAGACTATAAAAGGCTCACATCCTCAAAGCACAACGCCAAACTGTTACCATCTGATACTTGCATCACGTATGTAACGGCATGCACCTATCCTATCTGATATATCTCATGTATATTCATGTGGGTTTGCCTGAGAATAAGATGAATAAGGTACCTCAAAATCCAACAGTTTAGGATCATTTTCCATTTAAAAGGACTATATATGACTATGTGATTATGTTGGCCCCATTTTCAGACACACCCATGTGATCTCCTATCGCCCAAAGAAAGTCCGCTGCATTTCTTCACAACTCTTCAGTCGCTGCATCGGCACCGAGAGCTTGACCTGTTTTGGCTGAAACTGTTGTCGGACCGCTGAAACGACTGAAATGCTTACCCTCTGGTGTCATCAAACGTGGCTAGCCGGAAAATCCCCTAGAAATAGTCAATGCAGGATTGTAGCTGTGAAAAATTGTGAAAATCATCTATATATAAATGGGGAATTTTCTATTGCTTGAGTACCACAGTGTATGTACAGTCATCTTGAAGCCTGCCCGCCAAAATGGCACATTGAGTCCAGTGCAATAGACTGAGAGGTTATCCGAGAAGTTCTTTCCAGTCTTTGGACAGATCGACGGATGCTCCTTCACACATTGAGCATCATCGAGCGGAAGCGAGCATGCCTGTGACAAGAGCCTCACAGTTCAGTTATATAAATGCTCTGTGTCTGTGTCCTTGCACGTGAAGTGAACACAGGTCTCGTTCGGGTACGCCACGAATGCTTTTCCCACATTGTCCTGGCGTTCGGGCGTGATAGTTATTTTTGGCACCATTTTGGTGGGATTGGAAAGGATTGGATCTTGTCTACGTTCCTAAACTTTCGCAATGTGGGGGTTAAATGGGATTTAAATGGGATTTAAATGGGATAAGGCATCTGTCCATCAACTCCGCCGCATCGGCCTTGTCAACAAAGCGCTTGTTGCAAACTGGGCAGCATCGGTCCACCGTGATGTTCACCTGAAGGACCGAAATCGAGGAAAAGCTCCCAACTGCGTGCTGCCAGTGGCCAAAGTGCCGTTTGGACTTGTTATATCTGGTTATCATCTACATCAAATTCTATCAAATTCTCAAAGGATTGAAAAACATGCCATAAATGTTGGCTGCTGTATCCAGTAGTGTACCCCAAGAAGGGCCTTCCTCATGCGTTCCTTTGTCCACGCACTGAAGGTCTTCAAGTACGCCATGGAACTCAAATTCTCTTCGAGCATGCCTTTGCTTCGCTCAACATCAAACACAATTGGATGTAAATGAATGGATTCAGCAGAAAAGATGTCCATGATGTGGATAAACAAATCATCCCGAACCATCTGCAATACGACGATGCATAACAATCCTACCACTTCCTTCAGCACCTGGTTCTTTGACATGTTTGACAAGATCTTAGGGGCAGGACTCGCTCTTTGCTGGTGCAAGCAAATGCGCGCGCATTTGCTGAGGTAATCCGCAACGCCCTTGGCGTCATCTTTGCAAGCAAATGTCAACATGTTCATTTCCGGGGACCCCTCACTGCTGAGCATTTTGAGTAAAAGAACATCTCCTTCCATTCTGAATGACCCATCCCCTCAGCCTAAGACTGCTCTGAAAATTCTGGGACGATCATTCCCATGATAAAAACTGGGTTATATACTAACCATGAATAGTCCCCAGCTAACCATTAACAATACCAATATGTAATGGGTTATAATACCATTAATAACACCATTAAACATGGGTTATATCATCATTAATTTCCATGGGATATTCCCATTTTAATGGGATATTCCATTCATTTCCATGGGATATTCCCATGATATACCATTAATAATACCATTAATAATGGGTTATAACGGGTTGATCATCCGTTTCCCCCATCCGGACATCTTCAGCTCGCCTCCAAAGTCCAGTTCGCGGGAAGGATCCCAAGGACCTGCGGGCCAGGAATTCCCAGAATGCAGTGAGGCCCAGGATCCGAATTCCAAATCTTCCAAGCTGATGATAACATCAACAATATCTATTAGTATTACATAGTTCAAATTAGTTCTATCATTCTTTTTATTGATGATTCTTCTTATTCATTTTGTTATTGTTATTGTTATCATTATATATTGTATATTATGGCACTCTTGTTCCAACAATTTCAAGCGCATGGCTGCTGTGCCATTTTGTGAACATGAGACCAGTGCGCTGTTGACACCGCTGCAGGAAACCAATCCCTAATATTAAAATGCACCCCTTGTCAGCCCCTCTGGAAAGCCGGGCTTGAAATGGGATCTATTCAGTTTGGGGGCCAGGGAGTGATAGGCGGATGGGCTTAGTTAGTATGACCATCCTAACCTTACATGACCATCAAATAGAAAGGCTCTTGAGAATAGTTCCAGTGCACTCATGGTCCTCTGATGGCGGTGTCCCCTGCCTCATTTGGCGGCAAATCAGTATGTCCAGCATATCCCATGAGCAAAGCCAGAATCGCTTCACGGTACTCTGCAGAGACCTCCACGCCAGCAGCAAAGCACTGAACATAGAGAAACCATGTGCTTACTTTAGATGGCTTTGACATTTAGTGGATCTTAGTAGTTGGCTGATAAAATCATCATCATCACCATCACCATCATCACCACCATCACCATCACCAGGATTAGAATGAGCATATCAACCCCCATTCATGGGGGATGACCAGATCATCCCTGGGCCTTCTTATACTCCTCGGGTCTTTCCGTGGCCCACTTGTGAGCGTCAAGCCTGGCATGGGACAACATCCTCAATCTGATGGAATGATACCAAATGCCTCTATTAACATAATGACCTATACTGTATATAATATTATATAATAATATAACTACGATATATCAATATTATAGATATATATATATAGATATATTATTATATTATATTATATAATCCTATCTGGTAGTATTTTTTAACAGTGATTCTAACTACACTACATTGGCAACACCTTGGAATGGCATGACATCTGAGGAGCACACAGGATTCTCAGGAAGAGCATTAACGGCCTGGTCCGTGCTGAGGGCTCTCCAGCCTCAGTTGGGATCTTCCATTGCCAACTGGGTTCACACGAACATGGTGAATATCATTTAAATTACTAGAAGATACTAGTAGAATCTAGTAGATTTAGTAGATATCAAAATACTTATACCAAATATTACCAAATATCATTTTACTCAAATATCATTTAATATCAATTGATACTACTAGAAGATTACAAGATATTACAAGTACCTGGTACCAGTACAGCTAAATGGATGTTCATCCCCCAAAAATGATTCCATAGGTGTTGACTCATCCCCATATCTTTAGCCATTGAACTGCCGAGTTCGCCACTGCAGCCGATGCAGCATCCTGAATCATCCACCAAAACGCGTATCGCCCGAATGTTTCATGAAGCGATCTCGAACAACCACAACATCCAACATCAAAAACATATAGCATATTATAGCATCAAAACAAATTCATCGAAACATATCATCAAAGCCCATCAATAATTAGATAATCTATGATAATCTCATCATATCTCATCAGCATCTCAAAAAAACGGAGACCTCTCCTGCTGATTCTCCGGCGCTCCGGACTTCTTTGGCCTGGCGCAGCCCGCCCCATGCGGCCCATGCGAGCCCCAAGGTGCACCGGTGGCGCACCCGAAGACCACGCCACGCGCCCAGCCCGGTAGGTCCGCGGAGAAGACGGAGAACTTCTCCTGCCGAAGCCCTGGGGGAAACCCTGGGAACCGGTGGAGTTCCCAGTCATTTTTCTAAAATTTCAAGTGAACCTCATCCAGAAAAATGAAAAAAAAACTGGGACTTCAAATCCTTCAAATCCTTCAAATCCTTCAAATGGAGAAGCTCCTTTTGCTTTCCCCAATTTCCATATTCGGAAAACGGCAATGGTCAGTATATCCGCTTCAACTGCGCAGTTCACATCTGTCTTAGGCTCCTGGATCCGCTGTGCTTCCCTGGATGCGACGATGGGGCTTCGCATGGGATTGTCTCAACATTTCATCATTTTCCACATCGAGAATCGTCGAAATATGGAAATAGCATGAGTCATAGCCATTTCGGGTACCAACAATTTTGAGACAAATCCATTCCCTTTTCTTTTTTGTTTGAATGTCCATTCAAAGCACTTTGCCAAGTCAGAGGTCATAACAAAAAATACAAAAAATATCTAATATATTCTAAGATGCTACTGATACTGTCATCTTTGAACGCTGCCCAAGAAAAAACATGAAACAAAACTAGATTTTGAAAGCTTCCCAAAAAAACTAGAGGATGTCACCGTACCGATATACCCGCCACCATATTTTCCGAATCAAACCCAGGGGCCCAGGCTCCCAAGATCATCCTTGCCTGGCCATCAGCAGGCGACAGTAGATTTCCGCACGGCTCAGATCGTTCAGGTCGATACTGAGAATTTGCCTTAGCCATCTGACTTAAGCCATCTAAGATCATCTGAGCCATCGCACTAAATCGGACTCAGCTTGATGGGTGCTTGCAAGGCATCTTCATGCATCTTCTACTGTATTTTTCTATGTCATATGATTTGGTTCCCTGGAAATCGTTCAAGAAAATTGAAGGTGGATTCTTTGGCCACGGTCATGAGACATACGTTTGCAAAGATATATAAACCGTATAAACCCCCTAGGACTCCTAGGACTGCGACAATGCTTCGTAGTGTTTGTTCTCGCGGCTGCAAAGCACAACTCGTTCCTGCGCAGTGGTAAACACCCTTTACCACTCTCTACGACAGTCTAACGAAACTCCACACAAAGTTATAAAACAGCTGCCCGGGTCGAATGCTTGCCTTAGGAGAAGTAGGACCAACAAGAGCAAAACGCAGATTTGAGTCCCAAATATTCTCCTCGTGCAATTGAAGCGCTTCAAGACGAGGCAAAAGCTCAGAATTGAGACCTTCTGCATCTTCAATGAACCTGTTCAAAGGCATCCCCCCCAAGCTGCTGCTGACAACTGCGAATCAGGAGTCAGGAGTTGTGTTTTCAATCCCAAGAAACCGAGCCTTTCATGCTTAGTCATGACACTAATCACTCGTTGCCCCTATGCTGCAAATGTGTTGGCAGTTCAAAATCAAGGCATGAACTTGAGCAAAGTCAAAAAGTGGCGTCACTTTTCTTTCCGTGGGACATGGTTGCAACCCAGTTGAGGCCGATGATTTCAGTCTCAACATGAGGCGACGTGAAGCTGGCTGAAGTCACCTTTCCACGTTGATTGGAGGTCGGGTAATCACACCTTCTTCACGTTCGATAGAGACTGGGCCGCTTCCACGGCGCCACTCGGCCACGGCAGCTGCAAAGGCTTTGCTTTCAGCTTCCTCGGCGGCCTTCAATTTCTCGCGCGCATCTGCCAGTGCTTCGTTGCTATACCGCACTCCCTCGTGGCCAGCCACCAATCGTGTAAGAGCACTTTGGACGTGCAGGCGTGCTGCTGGTCCATCTGTGTTGTCGATTCCAACAAAGCCTCCACCAATTCTCTCCAACCAATGTCTCAATGAAGGTGGGGCAGAAGGGTCCAGAACTTGCCGTTGAAGGGTCTCTTCATCAAGATCGCAATGAGTAAAGACCAGCATTGTATGGCGCAAGGCCGACTCGCCACAATTCAGAGCAAAAGCAGCCAAGGCTTCATCATGCTCCGGTTTGAAGCGACCCCAGCGCACCACAAACAGGAAGACGTCGATCCCTTCTGCAGCTGCTTCAGAGAAAGTCGAAAAGCGATCCAGAACCTCTTTCTGCGTCAAGTTGGTGTCCTGCAGGCCAATGGTGTCAATCACCCGCCAAAAGGACGCTCCACAGAGGTAGTCTGCATGGGCCAATTCCTGCGTTTCGGATTTGAAGCCTGCTGACACCTGGAAAGCGGATGTTCCACACAATGTGTTTCCAGTCGAGCTCTTTCCATCACCGGTCACCCCAACCAAAACCACAGTGTGTCGCTGGAAGCCATCATCCAGCAAGCTCGCAGCATCTGCATTCAGCATTCCATTACCTTCTCTCTCTAAAAGCCAACCAACATCCTTGAGCCAAGTGGTGTCGAATTTCTTTGAGAAACCAAACCAGTTCTAAAGTGGGGTACCACTAAATCATCCATCTTTTGTTGGGATTTTCCACTATAAATCATGCAGCTATTGGGATACGCCCATTGATGGAAGACCCCAACCAGTGGGTCTTCCTACACGAGCAGGTCGACCAGGCCTTAAAAGCTTGGTCCGTGTTGGCGTCATCCCTTTGGCTCCCGGCAGTGCGAGCTCCTTTCGCTCGTGGCACTGGGGTATCTCTGAGACTGTGAACCTTCAAAAAACTGACACCAATATGACACCCATATAGTTGGAACCAGTTGGAACCAGTTGGAAAGCCTCTTCCACAGCTAAATCTGGTCAGCTCAACCTTAAAACGGTCGCATGGGATGGATGAAACAGATCCATCAAACCGGATCTCCTCTTCAACTTTCGCGACATATGCGGAGCCAAGTTGAGCACAGTGACGTGGTTCTGCCTTCCAAGGGACCACACACCAGTCATCCTTCTACTATCGGCACTTCCTTGTAGTAGTTTGTAACATGGCAATGTGCAATTCACCCAATGTCAGTCACAGCGGCCATTTGGGGATGATTTTTTCTTTAATTATGTTGAGATTACGGATGGTTAGTGGATTTACTACATCATCTTAACTGATTTTTTCGGAACAAATGTCAACCGCGACCGGCTACGGCGCTACGGACATCCATTTTGGTCCTCCTTCTTTTCTACCAAATCCTCCAAAAAGGCCAGAAGCAGTGGGGGATGACCTGGAGCAACGGAGCATTCAGAAGCCATGGGAATATGATGGGGAGAGAGATATATATATATATATAAAATATAAAATATTAAAATATAAAATATAAAATATAAAATATAATATATAATATATCATATATAATATATAATATATACTATATACTATATAATATATAATATATAATATATAATATATAATATATAATATATAATATAATATATATATACTATAATCGCTATAACATATATATATATATACGATATAACTATATTTAGTATCTACTATATATATAGCTATATATATATAATCCGATATTACAATCATATTGGGGTGTCACTTTGACAATGGGGGATTTTGCCGTCCATGGTCATGGCCATTAAAGATGACCGGGAACATCATGATTGACCGTTCGCCATTTTCAGACAAACGCCGATTCGCCGATGAAACAGTGCCGGTGCCTTCCAGCAGCTGTAGCACTTCATCCGGCTGTAGAGGAAGTGCCTAACCCAGTGGATCAAACCATGTGGATTTTCCAAATCCGTGGCTGTTCCCGCCATAACCAAACTTCCTAGTAGACTGTTAAAACATGTTAAAACCATTAATGTTGGGTTAGGATTAATAAAACCCCCAAATTAATCATACCCCTTTTCACCGGATTTTTTTGGGCAATACTAAAGTCCTCTACGTGCCGATTTCCCCCCCTAATAATGGAACACTACCCCCGAATTAATCATACCCCTCCGGGATCCCCAAATTTTTGGTGGGACTAATTTGCTATTACTCCCTTTTACTTTTTAATTCGGGTTACAATTTCCAGGGTTACTTCCTATTTTGGTTTACCATAGGTATTCTTATCTTTTCTCATTGGAATCTGATGGTTTACCATTCATTTTCGAATCTTCCCTCATAGGAATTTGATGGTTTCTACGTGGTTTCCTCATCTTCCCTCAGATGGTTTACCAAAGGTTTTCTGATCTTTTCTCATTGGAATTTGATGGTTTACCATAGTTTTTCTCATCTTTTTTCATAGGAATTTCATGGTTTACCATTCATTTTCGAATCTTCCCTCATAGGAATTTGATGGTTTACCATACGTTTTCTGAACTTTTCTCATAGGAATCTCATGGTTTACCATTCATTTTCGAATCTTTCCTCATAGGAATTTGATGGTTTCTACGTGGTTTCTTCATCTTCCCTCAAAGGAATTTGATGGTTAACCATAGGTTTTCCTATCTTTTCTCATAAGAATTTGATGGTTTACCATAGGTTTTCTGAACTTTTCTCATAGGAATCTCATGGTTTACCATTCATTTTCGAATCTTTCCTCATAGGAATTTGATGGTTTCTACGTGGTTTCCTCAACTTCCCTCAAAGGAATTTGATGGTTAACCATAGGTTTTCCTATCTTTTCTCATAAGAATTTGATGGTTTACCATAGGTTTTCTGAACTTTTCTCATAGGAATCTCATGGCTTACCATTCATTTTCGAATCTTCCCTCATAGGAATTTGATGGTTTACCATAGGTTTTCTAATCTTTTCTCATAAGAATTTGATGGTTTACCATAGGTTTTCTGATCTTTTCTCATAGGAATCTCATGGTTTACCATAGGTTTTCTGATCTTCCCTCTGTGCAAGGGCTGTTCTTTCAGTAGGTCGAAGCCGCGCTATTGCCAAACACACTGGTTTCAGAGGTTTTTTGTGGGTTGGCTCATCATGTTGGGAAGAGGTGACTCTCTTTCATTGCAAGAGCTGCGCTTTCATTAGGTCGAAGCCGCGCTATTGCCAAACACACTGGTTTCAGAGGTTTTTTGTGGGTTGGCTCATCATGTTGGGAAGAGGTGACTCTCTTTCATTGCAAGAGCTGCGCTTTCATTAGGTCGAAGCCGCGCTATTGCCAAAC